AAATTTTATAAAGAAAAAAAAATAAAAGGAAAAAAAAAAAAAAAAAAAAAAAAAAAGGAGAGAAATCCAAAAGCTGAGGATCAAGTTGTAACAATTCAATAGTTGATCCAGACCATGAACGAAGATTGAAGAATTTGGAGATCAAATTTCATATTTTGGAAAGTAAAGGACTTGAATTGAACCAAAGAATACATAAGTTGTGAGAATAAAAGGGCTTAAAGACTAAAATTTATTATAATAAAAAATTGAGGACTTGATGGGTAATATTGCATTTAAGACTTTCAGCTTGTTTGGGAGTATTTTTTGGCCCAAAAAATTGATTTTTTGACCGTTATTTTCAACCGTCATATTTGACTTCTTCTCTTACAGGTAGACTTCACTTTTTTCCTAACGATCAAAAAATTAATTTTCAAAATCATTCCCACACAGGCTCTTTGAATTGAAGTCAAAGATGGTGGCTATAAAGTTGTATTATAATTCACGCAGGAGGCCGGGAGCTTTTTTGGGAAAAAAATTAGAGTCCCTTTTATGATTAAACTTGTGGTAACTAGGTTTTATAGATATATATTTATATATATGCACAGAAAACGAGGAGGAGAGATGAGCCAACTTGATATATTTCATGCAAAATTTGGTGGCTGCTTTTATTGTTTTTTTGGAGAGGGATATATATGTACAGGCAGAGAGGAATTGGAGGCAGCCAATTTGATAATTTTTTTATTTTATTTTACACACACTTTGAGGCTGCAGAGGAGATTGACGCAGACGGAGGGAAAAATAGAAGGAAGCTGTTGGAGGGAATACACGCAGAACCCAACTGCAGATTCACGTTCCAAAAATTTATTCACGTTCTGTCAATTAATCTTGTGATATCTTTCATAATTTCTTATTTTTCTTTCATCAATATGCGTAGCTAAATTTATTTTTAGGGCGAATAATGTAACTGATTTGGGACCTTTATTCCTTTTATTTGAGACTATTGTTCTTTTATATTTTATGTATGGATTTTAATTATGTTTTTAATACGTTGAATTTTTCTGGTCAATTATTCAATAATTTTGTAAATAATAATTACGTAGATATGCAGATTCTTGTTTATACCACATATTAAAATTCAGTAAATTAATATAATATGTAGAGATACATATATTAATTACCGCGGTCCTATAGAAATTCTTAGAACTATTATTTCGTTTAATTAAATTTAATTTGCATAGAGATATGAAATTGAACTAATTAAATATGTTCAACGAGAACACAAGATGGGTAATTTGAATACAATAGAAGAATTCAACGAACACTATTTTAGTTTTATGAATCTCGATATTAGAAATAAAGGTGACCAATAGGTTAATTTGTTTTGTCGTAATCCCCATTTATTAATTGAATTCCCACTCATTTTCTGTTGCATTCACAAAATTTCTAGCAGTTAGATTTAAAAATCACATTCAATTATTATTATTATTTATTTATTTTCATTAAATAGAAGTTAAGAATAATAAATTGAGTACTGAAATATAGTACTCATGAGAACGATAATTCGGACTCAAAATGTCTACTTTACTACTTATTACGATTCGTCCACTAGCGGGATAAAATCGACAACAAGTTTTTGACGCCGTTGTCGGGGACTTACTTTTAGTCTTAATTTATTTATTTTATTTTTTATCTTATTTTTAGTTGTTATTTGATTTGCTTATTTTCTTTTATTTACAGAAAACTGTGTTCGTTGTATGCTCCGTGTCCAAGGCGAGATCTTAAACCATTTGATTCGAAAATAGAATGTACCTTCAGACGAAAACTCAGGGAACACAAACAAAAACTGCAACATCAAATGACTAACAATCTAAACAATCATATCCCTATACAGTCAATTAGACAAATGGCCGCGAGAGCTAAACAGTAAGAGCAAAGGGAAGTAAATGAAGAAGACTTGCCAGTTTCTATGTTTTTGACGCCTATAGCAGCACCTGCACGGTCCAACATAGTATATCTAGATTTTAGGGTAAATAACTTCCAGATACGGGCTGATTGGATTAATTTGATGAGCAGCACTCTGCAATTCTACGGGTTACCTCATGAGAATCCAAACACACGTATCTCAAGGTTTCTCAAGAATTGCCAGAATTGTCATGCTCCTGGGGTTAATGAGGACGCCATCAAGCTGCGATTATTCTCATATACACTGAGAGATGTAGCATTGGAATGGCTGGATTTCGAAACGGATAGAAGTATTACAATATGGGAGGAATTGACTAGGAAATTCTGCAATAAGTTCTTTCCATCAGCTAAGGTAGCAAAAATCAGACTGAAAATTCAAACTTTTCAACAGAGAGATGGGGAGAGCTATCACGAGGCATGGAACAAATTTAAACAGTTGATGAGGAAGTGTCCAAATCATGGGATCGCCATTGGAAATCAAGTGCAGTATTTCTACACGAGACTTTCACCACTATCCAAATCTCAAGTGGATTCCTCTGCAGGTGGATCGATCATAGGGAAATCAGTGCAACAATATATGGATCTATTTGAGTTGATTGCTACTACTCATTCCATGTTTTCATCAGAAAGAGTGGTGCCTCCAAAAGCAACGAGGATATATGAATTAGAAAGCACAACATCTACCAACGCCCGAATAGCAGCATTGACAAAACAAGTAGAGTTATTAGTCAAGTCATAAACAAAAGGAGCACATGTAGTGATAGTCGGTCCAGCATACGAAAACTGCGGGGCTAATCATCTAACTGAAAATTGTACATCTATGGGGTTTCCGGAAGAAGAAGTCAACTTCATTCAAAATTGCTCTTGAAATTTTAATCCCTTTTCGTAAACATATAACCCAGGATAGAGGCAACACCCAAACTTCAGATGGTCAAATAATCATCAAGGGAGCAGTTCAAACAATAACCAGCCAAAGAAAAAAAAGTTTGGGGGAGATGTTCAACCAATACATGCAAAAGATAGACAAGGAGTTCCAGCAGTTGACACTAACTTTCAAAATTAGCAAGCATCCATCAAGAAACTGAAAACTCAAATTGGACAGATAGCTCAACAACTTGCAGAACGTCCACAAGGGACATTGCCAGGCAACACAATTGTTAATCTAAAAGAGCAAGTGCAAGCTATTACAATTAGAAGTGGAGTAAAACTTCCAGAGATACATGTGAAGAGACCAGACAGAAAAGATAAAGAAGTAATGGGTGAAGAGGTTGGGACAGAAGCAGAGTCTGAACAACCAACTAACGAGGAGGACAAAAGGAAAGAAACACCCACAGTGAGAGCACCCAACCCCGTGAAAGCTTATGTGCCACCAATTCCCTTCCCTCAAAGGTTACAGAGAAAAAAGTTGGACAAGCAGTAAGCCAAGTTTGTGGAGATTTTCAAGAAACTGCATATCAATATTCCGTTTGCAGATGCAATAGCGCAAATGCCGAGTTATGCAAAATTCTTGAAGGATATCCTGTCTAACAAAAGGAAGCTGGAAGAACATGAGACTGTCTGCCTAAACGAGGAGTGCAGTGTAATTCTATTGAAAAAGCTACCTCCTATACTAAATGACCCAGGGAGTTTTACAATATCTTGCACAATTGGTTCTAACTATTTTGAGCATTCTTTATGTGATTTAGGTGCCAGTGTTAATTTGATGCCCCTCTCTATTTACAGGTCTCTTGGATTAGGAGAAACAAAACCTACAACCATCTCTTTGCAATTGGCTAACAGATCGATCAAACGACCGAAGAGGATTATTGAAGATGAGATAGTTAAAGTTGATAAATTTATTTTTCCTGCTGATTTCATCATTTTGGAAATGGAGGAGGATTCAAACATCCCTCTAATCTTGGGAAGACCCTTCTTGGCTACTGGAAGAGCACTGATTGATGTTTACGATCGAAAGATGATTTTTCGGGTGGACAATGAGCAAGTCATATTCAACATGTTCAAGGCGATGAAACATCCACTGACTTTAGACACCTGTTGCCAAGTAGATGTTCTTGAAGTGTTGGTGGCAGATACATTTGAGACAGAGCATCAAACAGTTCTTTGTAAAGCAAAAATTGCACAATCAGGAGTAATAAGTGCAGAAAAAACTGAATGTGTTGTCAACTTGGCTAAGCAACCAATAAGAAGAAGACATTGGCCAAGCAACCAATAGGAAGAAGACATTGGCAGTATGAATTTCTTGGTGACAACCTTTCACCTCCAGTACCTTCATTGGAAAATGCACCTATTCTTGAACTAAAGCCCTTGCCTTCACATCCCCATTATGCATATTTGGGAGAATCTACAACATTTCCTGTAATCATTGCAAATGACATGACAATGGAAGAGGAGATTAAATTGTTGGAGGTACTCAGGCAGCACAAAACGGTAATTGGATGGACAATAGCTGACATCAGAGGAGTAAGTCCAACTCTTTGTATGCACAAGATTTTAATGGAGGACGGGTCAAAGCCATCAATAGAAGGACAACGCAAATTAAATCCAATCATGAAAGAAGTAGTGCGAAAATAAGTGCTGAAATTGTTGGATGCAGGTATTATCTATCCAATCTCTGATAGTTCATGGGTGAGTCCAGTGCATGTTGTGCCAAAAAAGGGTGGAATCAAGTGGAGAACAACGAGCTGATACCAACACGGTTAGTGACAGGATGGAGAGTATGTATAGATTACAGAAAGCTAAACAATGCAACCAGAAAAGATCATTTTTCATTGCCATTCATTGGTCAGATGTTGGAGAGGTGGCTGGTCATTCTCATTACTGCTTTCTGGGCGGATATTCTAGGTACAATCAGATAGTTATTGCTCCAGAAGATTAGAAGAAAACAACCTTCACATGTCCCTATGAAACTTTTGCGTCTAAAGGATATCTTTTGGTTTATGCAATGTACCCGCAACCTTTCAACGGTGCATGATGGCCATATTTTCTGACATGGTAAAAAAATACATCGAAGTATTCATGGATGATTTTTCTTTGTTTGGAGATTCATTTGATGACTGCTTGGATCGGTTGGCTCTTGTATTGCAAAGATGTGAAGAGAAGAACTTAGTGCTAAATTGGGAAAAATGACATTTCATGGTAAAAGAGGGGATAGTGCTGGGCCACAGGATTTTTTCAAAGGACATTGAAGTTGACAAAGCCAAGATACAAGTAATTGAAAAATTGCAGCCTCTTAATTCAGTTAAGGGGATCGGAAGCTTTTTAGGACATGCAGAGTTTTATAGAAGGTTTATTCAAGATTTCTCAAAAATTACAAAACCTCTGTGTAATCTACTAGAGAAGGATGTGCTTTTTCGCTTTTCTAATGAATGCTTAAATGCTTTTAATACTTTGAAAGAAAAGTTAACGTCTGCACCTGTGATAGTAGCACTTGATTGGGATCTACTGTTTGAACTTATGTGTAATACTAGTGAGTTTGCAGTGGGAGCGGTGCTTGGCCAACGTAAAAACAAAGTGTTACATGTAATCTACTATGCCAGCAAAACCTTGACAGATGCTCAGATCAACTACGCAATAATGGAAAAAGAGATGCTAGCAGTGGTCTTTGCCTTCGACAAATTTCGTTCTTATCTAATTGGTTCAGAGGTGATAGTCTACACTGACCATACAGTATTGAAATATTTGTTTGAGAAGAAGGATGCTAAATCTAGGCTGATTCAATGGGTTCTGTTACTGCAAGAGTTTGAGATTGAAATTCAAAACAAAAAGGGTACAGAAAATTAGGTAGCGGATCATTTATTAAGGCTGAAGCAACTGGGTGATTCAGATGATGTGGATATTAATGAGGTTTTCCCAGATGAATAGTTATTACAGATAGAAAAGGCTCATGGTATGCAAACATTGTTAATTATTTAGCTAGTGGCTATATGGATCCTGATCTCACCTATCAGTAGAAGAAGTTCATTCATGAAGCGAAATTCTATTATTGGGATGATCCAAATTTATATAGGAGAGGAGCAGACCAGATCATTAGGAAATGTGTGCCAGAGGATGAGATTCCCACTAAAACAACAACAAAGGTGCTTCAATGTGGTTTCTTTTGGCCTTCACTATTCAAGAACTGCCACAGTTTTTGTAAGTCATGTGATAAGTGTCAGAGAACATGTAACATATCAGCGTGTCACGAGATGCCACTTAACAACATTCTGGAGGTGGAAATATTAGATGTCTGGGGGGTTGATTTTATGGGTCCCTTTCCAGCATCTTACAACAACCAGTACATTCTAGTGGCAGTGGATTATGTCTCTAAATGGGTAGAAGCTAAAGCATTACCTACAAATGATACAAGGGTAGTGGTGAACTTCATAAAGAAACACATCTTTAACCGCTATGGATCACCTAGGGCCATAATAAGTGATGGTGGAACTCACTTCTATAATCAGTTATTCCAGGCAGTGCTGCATAAGTACGGGGTACAACATCGAATTGCCACTTCTTACTACCCTCAGACAAGTGGATAGGTGGAAACCTCGAACTGGCAATAGAAAAGAATTCTGAAGCTCACTATGAATGCATCTAGTAAGGATTGATCAAAGAAATTAGACAATGCTTTATGGGCATATCGCACTACTTACAAGACACCCATTGGGATGTCCCTATATCGACTAGTTTTTGGAAAAGTATGCCACTTACCAGTGGAGTTTGAGCATAGAGCATACTGGGCATTGAAGCAATTAAACATGGATCTCGAAAAGGCTGGAGAAATAAGAATATTGCAATTATATGAATTGGAAGAATTTAGAAGAGAAGCATATGAGAATGCAGCCATTTACAAAGAAAGGACGAAGCAGTGGCATGACAAGAACATCAAGCAAAGAATTTTTAGAGTGGGAGATCAACTGCTTTTATACAATTCCA